GATAGATAGATAGATAGATAGATAGATAGATAGATAGATAGATAGATAGATAGATCGATCGATCGATAGATAGATAGACTTAGAAGAGACAAAGGGAGAGAACGAGACGTGGGATATGAGAGAGTGAGAGAGAAGGTTTGAGAGATAGATAGAGGGGGAGAGAAGAGTGGACAGAGAGAGAGATAGATGAGGAGAGAGAGGGAGAGAGAGAGGTAGAGAGGTAGAGAGGTAAAGAGAGAGAGGTTGGAGAGAGAGATAGAGGGAGATAGAGATAGAGGGAGAGATAGAGGGAGATAGAGATAGAGCGAGAGAGAGGGGAGAGAAGCAGGGACACAACGAGAACGGTTTGTGTGGAGTATACTCTCAAATAGGAATACGCTCTCCAAAATCGAGTGTACACCTGTCGAAGGTTAAATCCTTTAATTAGATAATTCCACTTCTATGTATGAATGTAGTATAGGGTTTTACGGCGCTTGCAACTGCTAAGGTCATATGAGCGCGCATTCCACTTCTGACGTCTTCAACTATGTTAAAAAATCAAAAGCAAGGTGTAATAGATCATGGATTATAATTTTATAATCTTGTAGTTCGTTAAAAATCTGCTAATTAATTTGTTTATAGCACATGCTGGAGTTCCATTGACGTAGGCTTAAATACACACACTTCCAAACTCATTCAGACAGCATTTTGAAGTAAGCACTTTTAACTGGATAATTCCAGTCATTATGATTTCGACTAAGTTGGGAAAAAAAATCATATTTAGAGCAAGGTCTAATAGAGCATAAATTTCAACATAATCTTGGGATTAATCTAAAATTTGCTATATAATTTGATTATGATATACATTGGGGTTGCATTGACGCAACCTATCATGTTTTTGCGTTTGATTTTGTTTCAAGAAAAAAAAATCAAGGTAAGCTGTCAGCGGGTGCTCTGATGTAGTTTGTACCTTCTTTCCTATAAAATATATTTCATCTAGATCTCTCTTTCTTTTTTATTGTGCTTGTTACTTTCTAGCAATACCTCTATTCTTCGGCACACATGACCATTATTGTCAAGTGCCGTAAAGCTCTTACTCTTACTTCACAAAAGTAAAAAACTGTGTGAGTAACCTAGTTGTTGTATTTTGCTCTGTTTATGTATAATACATATACCAAATGGACCAAAAAGCAACACACATTATATAGCCCGAACAACTTTGCGACAAAATAAATAACGCTATGAACAAAACTGAGCTGATCAGAAAGACACACAACAAGATGGTTTTGGATATCTAGAACGTTCATGTCTGCTCCAGACCTGACATTTGAAGAAGAAGAAGAAGAAGAAGAAGAAGAAGAAGAAGAAGAAGAAGAAGAAGA